ATTTTCCCTCTTTGTAACTTGTGGCGCGAACGGAACAACACTTGATCGGCTCGGTTCGTTTTCCAACGCGCACTCGTTCTTATGTATGGCTTAGCAGAGAAAGTATCAAATTATAATTGACTTCGTTCAGTGGACAAACGCAGAAAGGAAAAAGGGTGGGGGAACACTGTGTTATTCTCTCTGATATCGGATCGATGAAACGATCCTGTGAAACACTTTGAGACTGAGGAAACGAAGAACGATGATCGTATAGATAATTAATATACTTTCGTACAAACGTATGGAGAAGCAAATTCGCGATCGGTCCTCCGCGCGAGCCGCTGTTTGAGCTTTGAGATACGCGTACCTTTCGTCTTGTCTTGTCTTGTCTCTTTCTTTCTTTCTTTTCCTCTTTACTTTATCTCTTTAAACATATTTTAATGTACCATGCACAAAACACACATACGCGCGTGCGAGTCCTCGGATACGATCTTTGTTTTTTATTGCACGGATCGCCTACGCGATAAGGAGGAAAGATTTTTCGCGTGTATAATGACGGAGTTTGGTAGGAAGACGAAGATTATAGAAACTCTGAGAGGAAGTCGTAAAGTATAGTTGGCAGAGGTTACTCAGGTTCATGGAAGAATTCGTGTGATCCATGTGGATCGATCTAGGCGATGTGCGTGTGAGCGTTATCGTTTCTCGATCGTATCCGAGGACACGCGTGAACGTCAGCAGACGTGAATAAATGATGGACTGCTCGTTGGCGCGCGACGCGTGTCAGCCAGTGAACGATCTTAGATCTATCGCGATCGTGCAGCGGATCACCGTGGATCATCGTTGTTCAAGTTACTACAGTGGTATTACAAGAGCAATTGTTCGTGTGCGGATATGTATATATATATATACTCGCTTTGTCGATCGTACGGGCGAAATCGGCGAGACTTCGAGTAAAAGATCTGCGCGCCAAAGAATTGATTTGAATTTTTGCGCGGGAAAGAAGCACTCGCGGTATGTCCCCCGTACGATCTTTCGATTGCTGTTACAATGTCACTGTACACAAGAAATCGCGGTTTCGCGCGTGTCACCGAACATTTGTATATCTTTTCCTCTTTTTTTTTTTGTCGTTTTACTGTTTTTTTTTCTTCCCTTTGAGGAGCGCGCGGTTCGCGTTCACAATAATCGAAACGCTTTTTTTAAATTATCGTTTATCCTTTTCCCATCACCACACTTATGTTCCTAATGACGATTTCCCCGAGTGTCGAACTCAAACGACGATAATCGCGGTCGAAATCAGCTCGAAGAGGGTTTTTGGCTGCCACGGAACGAAAGTTTTAGTGCCGCTGTTGTCGGCACTGACGAAGGCACAGTCATAAGTCTCGTACGTTCAGCAACTTATCTCTCTCTCTCTCTCTCTCTTTCTCTCTCTCTCTCTCTCTTAATCGTATTACTTTTTTTTTCTTCTCCATAACCATCGTCTTTACTTGTAAAAAACGAAAAAAAAAAAAAATGGCGTGAGACGTAGAACTATCACGAAATATCTCTCCACTATATATCCATATTCTCCCAGTTCCACCGGTTTGCTTCTCTCTGCTTCACGTTTGGCACCACAAACGAGCCTTGTATTACACGGCTAAATTCTCCATTTTGCAGTCCCTTCCGTTCTTCTCTCTCGCGCTCTCTCTCTCTCTCTCTCTCTCTCTCTCTCGCTTTTTTTCTCTTTTATATAACATAATATAATATTATAATATAAACGTTTACGGTTTTGGCCACTCAGTTCGTGATCGCCGAAGCACATTACAGTCTGTGTTCTGCGACATTTCGATAGTTTAGAATATTTCTTAATTCACTTTTATACAACACTGATCCTGCTGCTTCTAGACTTCCTTGTGCGTACGTTTCTTTGTCGGATCCCCGGGATCGTATTGGCCGGCTCATCTCCTCCTTCTGGCCGTGACTGCAGCGATCATTTGCCTCAACATTGGCTCCGGGCTGCACACTCGTGGATCGCATTTCATGTTGCCATCACCTCCACAACTGAAATTGTACAAATACATATTCATTATTTAATTTGTCCACGTTGAAAAAGTAGAAAAGTTTTTGCGTTTGAGCTTCTAGTCAATCTATCACATAAAAGTACAGAATGGATCTTAACCCTAGTGTGGTCTTCGGGTCCATTTTGACCCATCGCTTTCTCATTTTTTAAATAACTTGTGCTGTTATCAAGTTTATGTTCCCCCTTAATGATATATTAAAAGTTTATTGTCATGGTATATATAGTGTGAAAAAATTGTAACAAAAATTGTTACGCATAAGGTCTTTGGGTCTTTTCTGACCCAACCCTTGGTTTGACCCCTTTTTTAAATTGCCGAACTAGGGTTAATTGGTATAATTAAAAAGCAAACGTTTCTTCGTGTTCAAATAACTAATAAATGTGGAATGGAGTTTGTTCATTTAAATAAATATTCCTGTGAACTACCTCCCACATAAATTTCATCAAAATCGATACGTTCCCCCGTGAGTGTTTCTCAATTTTCCTCCAAAAGCCACCAAAACGTGATTCAAACATAGATAACTTACGTGCACTGAAGACAAGGTCCCGACGCGGACCTAATGACTTCTCCAACGCGGTACGCTTGTCCGCGGATTTGACAGCCGTTTCGTTTCGCGGCTCCCTTGTACGCGTGGGCGTGGAAGTGCGGCGGCAACGTAGTCGTGGTCGTGGTCGTTGTCGTGGTGATATTCAGCGACGTGGCCATCGATACCGGGCACTCGTATCTCGGGCAACAGAAGCCGTTGATTGGCTCCTCGTGGCATCCTGGGATCGGTGGTGGACAGCTCTGTTGTAGACAGATGATGTCGCTTCTGAAGCAGAAGCAGAAATCACAGGGATCGTCCCTTGGTATCTGTTGAGCTGATACGTAGACTTTGCCACCGAATCTGCAAGTTCCTGGCCCATAAATCGCCTGATCATCTTCGTCGTAATCCTCGTCTGGGTTCAAGTAGCTGCCACCGTGTATTGGGAAGTGTGGATTCTCCTCTCCAGTCACTGTCTGATCTGGATACTCGTGTGTCTGAGGAGCTGGAGTAGTCGTAGGTCGTCCGTGAAGATCAGGATGTACTGGTTTCTCTGTAGCTTGGTACGTCTCGTTCACTGGTGGAACGTGTTCGTCGTATACACCTGGAACATGTTCTTCAGCTGATTCCTCCTTCTCCGTCGTTGGAACGGTTTCCGGAATCGTTGGTTCGCCATGTGGTGGAAGACCTTCTTCACCTTCTTCTCCTTCATGTTCCTCTTCCGTTGGTTCTACGACACTTGGTTCTATTGGAAGCGCTGTCTTAGTGATAGGCTCTTCAACAGGTGCTTCGGTTGATTGTTCTTCTGGTTTCATCGAAACTTCCTCTTCTTTGTGTTCTTCAGGGGCAACCGGTGCCACTGTGCTCTTTTCTTCTGGCACTTCTGTCGCTGCTTGCACTGTTGAGTGCTCTTCTTCAGGGGTTCTTTCAGTTTCTGGATGTTCCTTAGTTTCATGTTCTGTGGAAGCTTCGACTGGGGATTCTGTTGAAGAGGGTTGAGCTTCTGATACACTGGGTTGTGCTTCTGTTGCAGGAGCTTGTGGTTCCTCTGGCGGTTGGCTTGGTTCAGCTTCCTTTGTCGTTGCTTCTTCAGGGGCAGCTGGGGTTTCTGTGGATTCGGCAGGAGATACTGGAGGTTGCGTTTCGTGAGGAGAGGTTGCTTCAGCCTCAGGCGCAGCTGTGGTTGGCTGTACCATTTCTTCTTCGCCTATTGTTGGAAGACTGGTTGACTTTTCTTCAGTTTGTGGAGCTTCAGTTACGCTTGGTGTTTGTTCCTTGACCAGAATACCTTCCGTGGTTTGAGGAGTTTCTCCTTCAGGCGCTGGGGTTTGTTGTTCACCTTCTGCAGGTTTTTCTTCTCCAGGAAGAGTCTTTTCTGTTGTTTCAACAGGTTGCTCTCCTTCAGGAAGTGCCTTTTCTGTTGTTTCAACAGGTTGCTCTCCTTCAGGAAGTGCCTTTTCAGTTGTTCCTCCAGGTTGTTCTCCTTCAAGAAGTCCCTTCTCCGTTATTCCTTCAGGTTGTTCTTCAGGCAAACTCTTCACTGGTACTTTAGAAGTTTGTTCTTCCTCTGGAGCTTGAGTAGTAGGTTGAGCTTGTACTGTTGAATGCTCTTCTTCAGGAGTTGTTTCAGTTTCTGGGTGTTCCTTAGTTTCGTGTTCTGTGGTAGTTTCGACTGGGGATTCTGTTGAAGAGGGTTGAGCTTCTGATACACTGGGTTGTGCTTCTGTTACAGCAACTTGTGGTCCCTCTGATGGTTGGCTTGGTTCAGCTTCTTTTGTCGTTGCTTCTTCCGGAGCAGCTGGAGTTTCCGTGGATTCGACAGGAGATACTGGAGCTTCCTGAGGAGAGGTTACTTCAGCCTCAGGTGCAGCTGTGGTTGGCTGCGCCATTTCCTCTTCGCCTGTTGTTGGAAGACTGGTTGACTTTTCTTCAGCTTGAGGAACTTCAGTTACGCTTGGTGTTTGTTCCTTGATCAGAATACCTTCCGTGGTTTGGGGAGCTTCTCCTTCAGGCGCTGGAGTTTGTTGTTCACCTTCTGCAGGTTTTTCTTCTCCAGGAAGTGTCTTTTCTGTTGTCTCAACAGGTTGTTCCCCTTCAGGAAGTGCTTTTTCAGTTGTTCCTTCAGGAAGTGCCTTCTCCGTTGTTCCTTCAGGAAGTGCCTTCTCCGTTGTTCCTTCAGGTTGTTCTTCAGGCAAACTCTTCACTGGTACTTCAGAAGCTTGTTCTCCTTCTGGAGCTTGAGTAGTAGGATGCTCTGGACCTTCACTAGGAATTTCTTTCTCTGGTGCTTCAGTAGTAATTTCCTGTTCTGGCATTCCAGTTGGAACTTGTTCACTAGGAGTTACTTTCAAAGGAGCTTCAGTTGAATATTCTTTTTCAGGCATTTCAGTAGTTATTGCTTTCTCTGGAACTTCAACAGGTTGTTCTTTCTCTGGAATTTCTGTAGCAGGAGTCATTTTCTCTGGAACTTCGGTAGCTTGCGCAGGTCCTTCAGTAGGAAGTGCCTTCTCTGGTACTTCAGATGGTTCTTGGCCTGTTGGTTCTTCAGTTGTCTCTTTCTCTGGCAATTCAGTCGAACCTGCCTCAACAGGTGCCTTAGAAACAGCTTCAGTTACCTTTTCAATCTCTGCTGATGGTGTTGTTGTTTGTTCTTCAGCTTGTCCTTTCTCTTCTACCATCGGTTTTTCAGTTTCTTCTTCCACAGAAGGTGCTTCAGTTTGTTGCGTTACCTCTGGCAAGCCTTCTTCCGGTTGCTTCTCAGTAACAGCAGGTTGTTCTTCAGGAGTTGGACTCACTTCACTTGGGACAGTCGTTTCTTTCTCTTCGGTTACACCTTCAGTTTCCGTTACAGCTTTATGTTCTTCAGCTCCTTCTTCAGGCGAGATTGGAACAGTTTCTGGCATCGATGTAGAGCTTGCTTCTGCAGCTGGTACAGGTGTTTCACTGGGTTGTTCTTCACTTGGAACTGTAACTCCTTCACTTTCAGGAACAGGCATCTTCGTTGGTTCAGTTGACGTTACACCCTCTTCTGCAATTGGCTTCTGAGTTCCTTCTTCAGGTTTCTGTTCTTCCTCAGCCTCAACAGGGCTAACTGGCATTGTGGTTCCCTTTTCAGTTGATACCTCTGGTGTTTCAGTTACTTCCTTGAGTGACAGATCAGGTACCACTGTCGTTTGTTCTTGTTTCTCAGTTACCTGTTCTGGAACTTCACGTTCTGGTACTGCTGTAGCTTCAGACACTTCACCTTCGACAGGAGCACTAGTTGGTCCCTCAGTTGCTGGTTGTTCTTCAGGCTGAGCAGGCTGTTCTTCAATTCCTATAGTAACCATTTCTTCAGTAACAGGTATTGCAGTCTCCTTTTCAACCGAGGGTTGCTCAGTTTGTTCTTGAGGCATAGTCATTTCAGGAGCTGCTTTCACAGTGGTGGCTTCAGGTGCTGCTTCCGTGCTCACTTCTTGAGAAACAAGAGATGGAGTGGTGGTTCCTTCTTCAGCAGGTGAAATGGATTCAGGAGTTTGCTCTTCTCCAGATGGAGTTACTTCTGGTTGTTGATCTTTAGGTTTTGGAGTTTCTTCTGCTGGCTTTGTTTCAATCATAACTGCTGGCTCTTCAGTAACTCCTTCCTTCTCTGTCGGTTCTTTAGTTTCAATGGGTACAGATGGTTCTTCAGTGCCTGTCTCAGCAGCTTCAGTAGAACTTGGTACCTGTTCTCCAGGCATCTTCTCAGGTTGTTCTTCAGGAGCTTCAGTTTGTTCCTCACTAGTCTCTACAGTTGCCTTGACTGCACCTTCAGGCGCAAGTGTTTCTTTGGTTTGTTCTTCTGCTATGGTAGTAGGTATCAAGGGTTGTTCGGTTCCAACTGGTACAGTTTGCCCTTCTTCAGAGGGCACATCTGGTTTCTTAGTAACTTCTTCACTCGATGGTGCCATTGTTCCTTCTACAGGTCCTTCAGTGCCGGTTGGTTCTTCTTTAGTCAAACCAGGAGTAGTTGCTTCCTCTGGTACAGATACTGGAGCCTCTGTAGAAACTCCTATTTCTACAGTTGCAGGTGTTTCACTTTCAGATGGTTTAGCAGTTTCCTGTTCGACTGGAGTAACTTCCAGTTCTTCGCCTGCTGTAACGCCTTGTTCTGGAGTAGACGTTTCCACAGGAGATGGCTTTTCAGTCGCTGCCTCGCTAGGTTGAACAGTCTCCAATTTACCTTCTGTCGTTGGCTGTTCAGGCTGAACAGGCTGTTCTCCTTCAGATGGTTCAGTTCCTTTCACTCCTTCTTCGCCAGGATGTGTCACAGATTCTACGCCCGCAGTAGTTCCTTCTTCTAATGGTTTCTCAGTTTCAGCACCTGATGGAGTTTGTCCTGCTAGCTCTGGAATAACGGAAGAGCTTGGAATTTCAGGTTCTTTGCTCACACCTTCCGGAACTGCAGGGGAAACGGTTGTCTGTTCTTCGCCCTCTGCAGGTTTTGTTTCTTCTTCAGGTTGCTTGGTGGTAGGAGCTTCCTTTTCGATTCCAACGGAAGTATGCTCTTGCGGAATTGCCTCTGTTGTCTGTTCTTCCCCAGCAGCTGGACTCGAGGGTTGCTCTTCAGAAACTTGTCCTTCGATTGGCTGTTCAGTGGATGGCACCCTGGTTACCTGTTCCTCCTGTTCCTCCACGCTCTTCGCCGAGGTGCTTGGTAGTTCCGGTGAAGATTCTTTCGTTTCCTCTTGAGGAATTTGACTAGAAGACTCTACCTGCTCTGGAGGTACTGGACTAAGGGTATGCTCTTCGGGTTCTTTGGCAGCTTCTCCGACGGTAGTCGTTTGTACGTGCTCAGGTTCGGCGGATTTCGGTGTCGTCTGTGCTTCCTCGGTCAAACCAGGTGCAACTGTCTGTTCACCGCTGGGTACGTGCATCTCAGGTGCTATTGTCGAATGTTCCTCACCAGCTTCCGTTGTGGCTTCTTTAACCGTGACTTCGGGCGATACAGTCTTCTGTTCTTTTTCCTCCGTTTCGTATTTATGCGTATCGTTCTCGATCATATGATTACCAGATTCCAGTACTGCAGTAGGCGTGGAGTCGCAAGTGTACATTGGACAGCAGGGATCACTGTTAGTGTGTATTGGCATGCAGTTGGTCAAGTCAGTTGGCGGTGGTGAACACGTTACGAGCTCACACTGAACAATACTACTGACACAGTGACAGTGCAGTTGACAAGGATTGACAGGAGGAACAACGGAGTTGTTGCTGTAAGATTGTCCTTCGAGAAGACAATTGCCTTCTCCTGGAATTAGATGTGGTTCCTCTGATGTTCCTTCTTCCGGTATTACTCCAGCTACTGTAGACTGTTCGATCACTTCTTCAGTCGTTACTTTTGGCGATACTTCTGCGTATGGTGTGGTTGCTGGAATCTCTTCTTCCTTGGCTGGTGCAGCAGTCGAAGGTTCTGCAGCCTTCTCTTCCGTCAGCGGAGCTTCCGTTTCCTTTTCTTGTGGAATTGCCGTTGTACTTCCTTCTTGCGGTAGAGTCACTTTCGGTTCAGCTTCTTCGGGAGGAGAAACTTTCTGTTCTTCTTCAGGTAATGGTGTTTCTTCAGAAGGTGCTACGGTTGTCTTAGCAGCTGCAGCTTCAGTGGAAGACACTTCAGGCGCCTGAGTTATGGCACCTTCCTCGGGAATTTTACCTTCTTGTTCAGTTGTTTCCTCCCCTGGAATAGCTGCTGTGGATGCTTCAACTAGTACTTCTGGTTGTTGAGTGCTTCCTTCTGGCAACTGTTCCTCTTCAACAGGTTCTGGAGCTTGTTTAGTAGGTTCCGTGGAAGGTTCTTCATGTGTGGGAGCTTCCGTTGGTTTTTCTTCGGGTACTCCAGTCTCAGTTTGAGCTTCTTCCGTAGGCGAGATCTCTCCTTCAGGAACAGCCGTAGAAGCTTCTGGAACTTCCTTTGGTACTTCTGTCGATACTTCAGGTACCTCTTTAGGAGCAGTAGTAGGACTAACTGTTTCTTCTACGCCAGGAACTTTTGTAGGCACGGCTTCAGTACCTTCTGATGGTTTCTCTTCAATCATTGGACCTTCCGTTGAAATTTCTACAGATACTGGTACAATCTCCTGAGGAGGTGTTGGTTCAGTTGCTTCCGCTGTTGGTCTTTCTTCTTCCGCAGGTTTTTCTGTTAATTTTCCTTCTTCAACAGGTGGTTCAGTTGGCTTTTCTTCTTCAGCAGGTCCTTCTGTTGGTTCTGCTTCTTCTACTGGCTTTTCAGTTGCTTTTTCCTCTTCAACTGGTCCTTCCGTTGGTTTCATTTCCTCTGCTGGTTTTTCTTCTTCAACAGGTCCTTCTGTTGGTTTACCTTCTTCTACTGGTCCTTCTGTTGGTTTCATCTCTTCTTCTGGTCTACCTTCTTCTGGTCTTTCTGTTGGTTTCACCTCCTCTTCTGGTTTTCCTTCTTCAACTGGTCCTTCTGTTGGTTTAACTTCTTCAACTGGTCCTTCTGTTGGTTTCATCTCCTCTTCTGGTTTACCTTCTTCAACTGGTCCTTCTGTTGGTTTCACCTCCTCTTCTGGTTTTTCTTTCTCAACAGGACCTTCAGTTGGTTTCACTTCCTCCGTTGGTTTTTCTTCTTCCAAAGGTCCCTCTATTGGTTTTCCTTCTTCCAAAGGCCCCTCTGTCGGTTTTCCTTCTTCCAAAGGTCCCTCTGTCAGTTTCTCCTCTTCTAAAGGTTTGCTTTCCTCCACAGGACCTTCAGTCGTCTTTCCTTCTTCCAGAGGTAACTCTGTTTGTTCAGCTGGTTTTTCTTCTTCAAGAGGTCCTTCAGTTGGTCCTTCTTCTGCAAGTTTTCCTTCCTCAACAGGCATCTCAGTCGGTCTTTGCTCTTGGACAGGTTCTTGTACCTCGGTTGGTCCTTCAGTTGGTTGCTCACCTTCAGCAGGTTGTTCTTCTACAGGTTTTTCAGTCGGTTTCTCCTTCTCAACTGGTCCTTCCGTTGGTTTCGCTTCTTCAGTCGGTTTCTCCTCCTCAACAGGGCCTTCCGTTGGTTTCGCTTCCTCTGCTGGTTTTCCTTCTTCAAGAGGTCCTTCCGTTGGTTTCTCTTCCTCCGTTGGTTTTCCTTCTTCAACAGGTCCTTCTGTTGTTGGTTTCTCTTCCTCTACTGGTTTTCCTTCTTCCACAGGTCCTTCCGTTGGTTTCTCCTCCTCGACAGGCTTTTCAGATGCTTCTTCGCCCGCTACAGGCATTCCAGTCGTCACTTCCGCCTCCACAGGCTTTTCAGTTGGCTTCTCTTCTTCAAGAGATGGCTTCTGAACGCCTTCTGCTTCTTCAGGCGGCCTTTCTGCTCCCATTGCTTCATCCTCTTTACGTTCACTGATAGGAGACTTGGTCGATGTGTATCCTTCAACCGGAGCTTGCGTTCCCTCCTTTTCTAATCCAGCTTCAGTTATCGTCTCCTCCGTTGCTGGTGACCCAACCATAGGACCTTCAGTTTGAACCTCTTCTCTCATTGGCTCTTCTGTCTTCTGTTCCTCCGGAGTTGCCTCAGTCTGTTCTAAACTAGGTTGTTCCGTTCCAGCTTCCGGTGCTTCTGTCTTCTGTTCTTCCACAGACACTACCGTTGGATGTACCTCTACCATTAATGTACCTTCAGTTGGTTTCTCAACCTCTGCCATTTCTTGAGTGACCGATGAACTTTCAATTTCTGGAGTGGTTCCTTCTTTCGGAGCTTCCTCTACACCAGGTCTTTCACTTCCTTCAGCTTCACTAACCGGCATCTGTGGCGTGCTTGGAGCTTCCTCTGCACCAGGTTTTTCACTTGCTTCTGTTTCACTAATAGGTATCTGCGGCGTGCTTGGAGCTTCCTCTGCACCAGGTTTTTCACTTGCTTCTGTTTCACTAATAGGTATCTGCGGCGTGCTTGGAGCTTCCTCTACACCAGGTCTTTCACTTCCTTCAGTTTCACTAATTGGTATCTGCGGCGTGCTTGGAGCTTCCTCTACACCAGGTTTTTCACTTCCTTCTGTTTCACTAACTGGTATTTCTGGCGTGCTTGGAGCTTCCTCTACACCAGGTCTTTCACTTCCTTCAGCTTCACTAACCGGCATCTGTGGCGTGCTTGGAGCTTCCTCTGCACCAGGTTTTTCACTTGCTTCAGTTTCACTAATTGGTATCTGCGGCGTGCTTGGAGCTTCCTCTACACCAGGTTTTTCACTTGCTTCTGTTTCACTAATAGGTATCTGCGGCGTGCTTGGAGTTTCCTCTGCACCAGGTTTTTCACTTGCTTCTGTTTCACTAATTGGTATCTGCGGCGTGCCTGGAGCTTCCTCTACACCAGGTTTTTCACTTGCTTCTGTTTCACTAATTGGTATTTGTGGTGTGCTTGGAGCTTCCTCTACACCAGGTTTTTCACTTCCTTCAGCTTCACTAACCGGCATCTGTGGCGTGCTTACCTCTTCACCTTCAATAACCTTAGGAGTGACTTCCTCTTCGCTAATAACTGGTTTCTCAGTCACTTGTTCTTCAGGTGCTTCTGAGCTGACACTAGGCTTTTCACTTGGTAAAACTTCTTTTGGCGCAACCGTGACTTGTTCCTCCTTTTCAGTGGCAGGTTTTTCCTCTGGAATTGCGCTGACATCCGTCGGTATTTCTTCAGCGTGTGGAGCTTCCGTTGATTGAGCCAATACAGCGCCTTCAGTCGTTACTTTCTCAGCTTCTGTAGTTTGTTCTTCGACAGCTGGTTGCTCCGTTGGTAATTGTTCAGTGACATGTGGCTGAGCTGGCGTCTCAGATGGATGTTCCTCAGGTACCTTTCCTTCTTCTTTCGAAGCTTCTTCACTGGAATCGCTCACTTCTTCAGAAGACGACTCTCCAGATTCCTCGAGAGGCAGTCCTTTAGTCGGTGGTTCTTCACCTTCCTCTTTCGTTAACGACATCTCAGAAGATGAAACCTCAGTACTGTGTTCCTCTTGTGAACCTGGTTGCTCAGTTTGTTGAGTCTCTTCCTGTGGGGCTTGCTGAGTCGAAATTTCTACAACAGGACCTGCAGGAACAGCTTCAGTTACTTCCTTCTCTTTTCCAGGAACCTCGCCAGCTTCTGTCACCGAAGGAACACCTTCTTCAGCCTTCTCTGGGCTCGGCGAAGTAACAGAAGGTCCTTCTTCCGGTAATTCTCCTTCAAACGCGGTGCCTTCTTCAGCTTCATGTTTGGGTGGAATCATTGTTTCGTGTGACGGAGGCAAGTACGTGGTTGGAGCCTTCTCAGGAGCTTCAGTCACGAGACTGCTTGGCACATGGAACTCTGGTGGTTTCATGTCAACGTATCCTTGAGTAACGGGCATCTCAGTCACTTCTTCCTGATCCTCTTTCTTGCTTTCAGGTACACGTTCTGTGATTGAAATACCTGGTGGACCGTATTCTGGAATCACAGGAGGCTGTTCTTCTTCGTGATGCTCTTCCGTCACTGCTGGTTGCTCACCAGTCTCAGGTCCTTCAGTAGGGACCATGTCGTCTTTCTTGGGAACCACACCAGGTAATCCTTCAGGAGCTTTGTGTTCAATTGGCAGTTGCGTCTTCTGTTCAACTGGAGCTTCCGTAATTACATGTTCTTCACCGTGTTCTATTGGAACAGCAGCTTCAGTGGGTTGTTGTTCTGTGCTGACTTCCATAGGCTTCTCCTTTTCTCCCTCTTGTTCAGGAACTTGCTCCGTGCTTGGCACTTCTTCAAGAGGTTTCTCAGTAGCAATTTCTGTTTCTGGTGTCGCGGTTTCTTCCGGTTTTCCTTCGATTGGTCCCATTGTTGTGATCTTCTCTTCCGGTTCAGAAACAACAGCAGGAGTTTCTGTCACCTTGCCTGCTTCTGTCACCGGTTCTTCACTCTTAGCCGTGGTAGCTTCTGCCTCAGGAACAGGGGACGTTCCCTTCTCTTCGCTTGGAATTTCAGGTGCTTGCGTAGGTTTCTCAGCTTCCTGGACTGGCTGCTCCTCTTCCGGTGCTTGCGTAGGTTTCTCACCTTCTTGGACTGTCTGCTCCTCTTCAGATAACGTTGCTTGAGTTACACTTGGTTCTTGTTCCAAACTAGTTACACTTTTTTCCGTTGGTTCCATTTCTTCTCCTTTCTCTGTGCTCGCCACTTCAGGTTGTTCTCCTTTCTGTATCTCACCTTCGGTTTGTGCTTCTTCTGGTATCGCTTGTTCAGTAACCACCGGTTGCACCTCTTCCTCTTTCACGGTAGTTGCTTCTTCAGGTTCAACTGCTGCCTTCGGTGAAGTCGCTTCTGGTGCTTCCTGGGGAACAGGCGTTTCAGTGATTCCTTGAGTAGTCTCTTCTGTAGGTTTAGGAATCATCTCTTCGCCCTTTTCTTCCAACGTTGGTGCTTCAGTTGCCTGAGTTTCTGCTTCCTGAGGAGGTTCAGTCAGTTTGGGTGCCGCGCTGGGTTCGGTCACAGAAGGAGCACCTTCTGTAGTATATTCCTCTTGCAATTTAGTTTCCTTCACAGTCGTTGCTGTCTCTGGAACGTGTTCTTCTTCAGAAGGAGCTTCTTCCGTTTCTTTCTTCGGTTCTTCCGTGGATGGTGCGCTTTCGACGGGAGATTCAGTGCCTTCTGCGTCTGCACCTTTGTGGACCTCAGGAATTGCGTTGTCTGATCCTGGGAAGGATTCCTCCGTCGTTTCAGGATGTAGAACTTCTTCCTCTGCTTCCGTTACGCTCGATACCGTGGTTTCTAGAACGTGTTCCTCTGTAGGCTGTTCCTCGCCCTTTGGTAACGCTGTGACGTCTTCTCCTTGTCCGTCGTCTGTGTAGAGAAACGTTTCTATAGAACTCGTTTCACTAGAGTCTAGGAATGTGAGGTGTAATTACGTTTCGAGAATAATTAATATAAAAATTTCAGTTTGAAAATTGAACAGATGCGAGGCCGTTGCTTTCGAAGCACTCCTTTTAAAATAAAAAACAGGGAGGAGTCAATTGTCACAGTTCTTTGCTCTAAATTGCGTTCTCCATTCTTCACGTAGTAACAATTAAAAAAAAAAAGTCACGAAGAGTCAAGAACTTTGTTAACGATTGGCCCATTCTTACCAAAAATTTTATCACAAGTTCTTTGCTCTAAATTGCGCTCTCCATTCTTCGCGTAACACGAAATACAAGCACGTCTTTGATTGACAACGCTTATTTTTCGCACGAATGAAGGTAACTGTTAACTTGGTTGTCATTTCCATGGGGAAAAGAATTATTCTCGAAACTTTATGGTCACATCTCGTACTGTTTGCTGGTTTCAAGTAACAAAGGATGAAGTATCTTACCGCATTCGTACGTGGTCGGGCAACACTCTCCTTCCGGCGGTGGCACAGCAGTGCAATTCTTCCCGTGCGTTTTCATCGGCGCTCCACAATCTTGGACAGCGCACGCGATGTCACCGCGGAAGCAATAGCAGTGCTGACAGGGCTGCGTCGAGTAAATCAAGTCGCCGTCTTCGTATACCTTGCCTTCGTGGTAGCATTGCGGAGTCGCGTCTGGGGCCATTGTGGTGGTCATGATCAGGCCGGTTGGTTCAACCGTCGTAGCAAGATCCTCGTCGTATTCTGATGAAGATTCACCATTAATCAACCTTGGTACATGTGTACTTCACAATATGTAGTCATTCGAAAGGAGAAAGTTTGTAGCAATTATTTTGACTTTCAATACGTCCACTGTACATATGATTCAGGACAATTTTTCACACATGTTTTTCTGACATAAAAAGAAGTCTACTTTTGAATCGTTAGGAAAATAATTGAATTAACAGCCTTATTGAAATGGAAGATGAGATAATTTGTCGTTCTTTTTTTTTTTTTTTTTGGAGTGAGTTAACTTTGGACAATGAACGCGTTAACGTCACAGTAAGCGATTTATTAAGTTCAGGTTGCTGAATTCTTGAAATGACAAATTTGCTTCTACTGAAATGTTCAGTGACACCAAATATTTAGCCAACACTGTTAAACCAATAGTCTAACTGACACCCTGATTTCATATAAATATATGAAATAAAAATTGAGGTTCATTTTTCATTGAAGTTAATTCACACGAAGTTAACTCATTGCAACCGAAGTTAATTCACTTGACTGTCTAACAAAATAAAATTCGTTCCTAAGAAAAATACCAAAATCCAGAGTCTACTTTATCCGTATCATTTCAACAACCTGCACACGATCAATAATACTTTTCTCCGCATTAAAGGAAGGATTAACGTCGAGGTAGAAGAATTCGTCACTGAATGTCCAGATACACTTTAAAAACCGAGTTTCAATGTTACTCTGCCACGTGACAGGGAAACAATCATTCCATGAAAAACTCACCACAGTTGTATTTGATCGGACAGCATATTCCAGGTTGATAGACAGGCCTGCATCCAGCCACACGCAACGTGCACTCCTGCATAACACAAGTAGTCCTGTTTCTGATACAGTAGCAGAGTTCGCAAGGATTTTGAGGATCGGTGGGCAATTGTGCCCCGTCGGCGTAGAACCGTTCGTTAACGTTGCATCCATAATTATCGTGGAAGCCCAACGCCGTGGAACCGGAGGTCGCTGGTGCACTAGTGGTCGATGTTAACAATTGTACCGGGACCTCGGGACAAGTGATGACAGGACAACACTGATCCGGACGTTTCTCCACTGTACAATCTTGACCGATGGCCTTCGTGAAGGGGCAGACCCTCAGGTAACACATCAACATTCGATTGTGACACGTGCAATTCAAGCATGGCTCGTTCGTGACGATTCGATCACCCTCCTGGTAATGTTGGAAGTTGTAGTAGCATCCTGCTTGGCCTGCGAATTTGCAAAACGATTAAGGATATCGTACTTTCTCATTGTCGCCGCTTCCACTCGATCGATCAATGCGAATATGACACATTGCATTATTCTAAGGAGGACATCGCACGTTCGACTGTTGCAAATTTATGCACGTATGTGCACAGGGTGTTTTCTTTATCTTGCGAAATTTGAGCATCTCGCGGGGGACTGAATTTATCGAAAAATTGCTTGAACAAAAGTTGTCTGGTACGCAGATACGGTGGAAATTATTTTTTCTCAGGTCGAGTGATCGAGGGAGAATTTTAAAGTCAAGTTCATTTTTTCAAATGGAACCATGTATTTGTTTTTCTATGGCATTTGTTGAGGAGAATTCAAGGACCTGCCATATGAGGTAATTTATTGTTGTAAAATGTTATAATTTCATGAGTTTCTAAGGAGTCGAGTAACCCCGAGTCGCTGGTTGACGGCTATTAGGCTATATACAAGGTATTTCGTTATTGAGTACTTGGTATTCAGTGAAAATGTGCGAGAAAAGATTGTTGGCACTTGGAAATGAAAGAGGCGTTCGACATTTCTCGAGCAGATTTGTACATCATTTGTTAAATCGAACAATGCTCATAATGAATTTCAGAACACCCTGTATATATAACAGGAGGAGGACAAAGAAGCAGTGGCCGACGTTCTTAATATTCATCGAAAGGATCGATTGAAAGCGGTGCCGTGTAAGAATCGTTAAAACGGCACGTGCCGTGTCTGTTCGACTGCGATACAATTAACCTCACGTCGTTGGCGTGCGTGTACATTGATTAGGTGTAATAAAAGTCGCCGCAGCTTACATACCTCCATCGTATTCTGCTACTTGTGTGGTATCCTGGTCGTATACGGGTGCTGTAACAAAAAAGGACACGCGTTTCATTACATTGTGTACGTGTAACGTACGTAATATAGGTTTTCGGGTGAGAAATTGAAAATTCGTCGAGACTTGAAACTAAACGTATAGTCGGTGGAAGCGATATAATATCTCGCAGGAGCACATCTAGCCCCTGCAGTATGTGCGTCCTTTTTTTAGTTTCCTTCTTTCGCTTTCCCTGGGGAAAGCTTATTTTTAAATCCTTAGGAAATATTAACCTTTTTCTTTTTCTTCAACTTTCGCTTTCCCTGGGGAAAGCTTATTTTTAAATCCTTAGGAAATATTAACCTTTTTCTTTTTTTTCAAGTCAAATATCTAACTGTTTAACTCAAAAGAGACTCTTAGGAAGAAAGTTAGAAAGGGACGAGATATTATTGTCATAACCACGACGTAGAGTTATGTATCCCGCGTTTTAGAAATGATCACACACCGCATAACTATTAAAAAGATACGTGCAAAATCTAAGTTTTTTTTACCGTAATTCATAATTTTATTAGACCGTCAAAAGGTTAAGTAGAAGCTTTCGCTTCCCGTATTGTGTTATCCTTTCTTTTATCTTCCTACCCAATTCGTTCCACAGAAGCCACCACACTTGTACAATGTCACATTACACATAAATGCGGTATTTCCAATAAAGCTACCGCATACGCATGTAGAACGAAAGGCGCGGAATACTTTTGAGCTGTACTGTACATTGACACGTGACCGATTTCACGACCTTACTACATATCGATTCCGTCGACTGTACAAGGTTAAATAATCTTAGGAACTCTATTTCCCATGAAATTCGCAGGGAGAGACGAGCCGTGTCTCTCCGGTGCATGCAGTTTATCATAGTAATTACCGGCGGGATGCGTTTGTCCGGAGGGTGAACCGGGCTTAACAACGGAGTGAGTCAAAGCGTCATATGGCGCGAGCGTACGTGGGCGAATTCTCGTTAACACCCTCGCCCCAGTCGAACGAATTGTATGGCGAGTGCACATGGAATACAGAATTCTCTTTTTCTCTCCGTCTCGTTCCCTCTCTCCGTCTCTCCCTTTATCCCGCCAGTTTTCACCGTCGACACATCCACGGTAAAAACGCACGTGCACGCTCGCCTCCTCTCTCTCTCTCTCTCTCTCTCTCTTCTCCGTGACGCGGCTTCGTTTTTGTAATTTCTTCGGAATTGAAGTGCCGCGCGCGCGGTACTCGAGAGTTCGATTGTTCGTGAAACGCGACACGCCACCCTCCTGCTTCCTGCTCGCACAATAAGCCTCTCTATTCGCCGATAGGATCTTCTCTATTCTCTTTTCCCTTAGGGCTCGCGTCTTCGCCGAGCGTTATTGCGATTTTCAGCCTGAAACGTTTCTCTCTCACCCCGCGAACCGGAGGAATTCGAGCGGCGTCCCGTTGGAAAAGGTGTACATATGTAGTTGGTGGAACTGTATTCGTGTATGCACGGTGAAATGTGAGGAAGTGTTTTTTTTTTCCGGGGAAAAAGGTGATTTGTTTGAGAAGTGAAGAGTATCGACGATTTTTTTATGCGTTCGTTTTATCAGAGGAAGTGTACGAATTCGTGTCGATATAACTTCCTTTCGGAAAGTCTCTGCTCGTAGTTTTTTTCTTTGAAAACCGTTCAGGAAACTCCTTTGGAATGCACAAAACGTTCACGGATACGTGCATTGCGAGGCGAAGGATTCGAATGTCCAGTAGAATCCCTTCATTGAGCGTACCGAGCTGGTAGATTTATTACATGCCGCTTGATGGTCCTTTGAGAAGGGTTTTATTGCCTGTGTGACGGCATCCTTTGTTCTAAATCGACTCTCGTGATACATTTTATAGTAAAAGCGTAAAAAATTCAGACTTGACGCTATTGTTTCAACAATTCGGATAAATTGGAAGATTAATCGTTTCAAATTAATCGAAACATGCTTCTGTTCCATACTTTATGTTCGTCCGACAGTTTTCGGAAGTAAAACGTTTGGTAGGTGAAAAAGAAAGGTGTGAGGAATTCGGTGCAGTAATTAATTTGCAGTGATCAAGGAACAAGACTGTTAAATTGTTTTTTTTTATTATATTCAATATTTAGTATCTGCTTATATATTTTATATTAAAACATAATTATGATAAAATTGAATTATTCCTCAGAATCTGCAGAGACAAATCGAATCAAACAGATTACGGTGTCAAACGTGCTTTCTGTTCTCTTAAACATGAAACAGATGTGTCAGATTCTATTATAACGTAAGATTTGTTGCTTACTCTTTAATTTAGTAAGATTTGTTCCTTACTCTTTAATTTACTGTCGAATGCTCGTGTATTAGTCGTTGAAATCGTCCAAACATCCTCTACACTACCAAAAATATAAAACTACAGCAAGCAATTTAAAAAAATAGAGGTGACCTAGAAATCTTTAAAGACCCTCCACTTACAAAAAAATGATTACTGCCATATTATAGCCCCCTACGACTTTTGTAAACAATTTTTCCGCAGCTCCAAAAATTAGCGGAGATATTCAAAATGATCGGAATTATTGCCTCTGTATACATTATTGTTTCTCAGAACACCCATCAAAGACCCAATTATTCCCTTAAAACCCCTACAATAATCTATTCATTTATTCCTCCATTCGATTTTTCCAAGTACAAGACAAATTTATTCTCGACGGTTTCCCCATTTTTCCTCCCCGTCAAATCCACCCATTCAATTCCCCCATTATCCTTCGAATTCCCGGAAGAACCAGATCAGTGTCACGCCCCGGATCGATCGAAGGAAGCACGTTCCGCTGTTGCAAGCGACGAGCGTGTGGTGGGAACCGTCTAGAAGCGGCGATCGGAAGTCGATTCGCGACTCTGAGGCGCGAGGTTGAAATGCGCGGCGCGTGCGTTTCCGCAAGGTGTTCCCGGCCAGCGCCACGGCATGGCACGGACATTCGCGTTTCCATACGTGCGTCGGTGTCGAGCCAAGGCATATTCG